TGCCACCTCGACTTTGGTGGTGTGCGCTATGCTAAACCTCATCCTTAGCCAAGAATAGGGGCATTGACGCGCCGCTGCATGGTCCCTAAAACTAGTCGTCATCCGGGCAGTTGATTAGGCGGTCAGATGAGCCATTTTCTTTCTAGCTTTTCACTGTATTTTCTATTTTCTTTTCAAGTTTAGTTGTATTATTGTCTTTATGAAGTATATTAGGACGTGGATTCTTTTTTTTGTTTTGTAATGAAGTGTTTTTGCGATTTTTTAGGTATTGCTCAATTGTTTGTTTAATTGTTTAATTGTTCGCAAAAATTGGAGAAATCTCAATCATGTGAAGACAAGGAACAACCAAACTTGAGAAAAGCAAAAACAGTGAAAAGTAGGGAGAAAATGACTAAACCAGGCCGGAAACAGCTGATCGCCGCCAACAGTTCCTACGTGGTCGCTGCTGCAGCCGCGTCTGCGACCCTTCGACAACCGCCTAATCAACTGCCCGGATGACGACTGTACGTTAGTCGATGGGAGCGTTGTCAGGAGGGATGGAATGAGTGTTTCCGCGGTGTCTTCACAATTGGTTGTTTTCTACCTAGATCGATCACTAACCTGTTACCATTGCCAGAGCAAAGCAACCGGAGGCAGGATGATGCCGTTCCTCCCGGAACCGCCCCGAATGATTGCGAAGATACTAGTAAGTTAACGCCAGTAATTTCTTACAAATTCAGATGGTGTGCGGATACGAAAACCTGTGAAGCCGCCACAACCTCTTGCCAAAACACCATTAAGGTAAATGATTTTGTTTATGGAAAAACCGTTGAGCTCTAAGACACCTGCAATTCACTTTGGCCAGTGTTTCATACGTGACCTTTACTCAGTAGACGCTTGTGAAATCAGATCTGAATATTTAGGGGTTGGAAATAAGGCATGAGAATCGCATCCAATTTCAAGGAAAAGGTGACATGTAGGAACCAGAAAGACTTTTTTAGCTAGGAATAAACAATAGCGATTGTTTGATTACCTTTTATGAGCACTGGAAACCTTTACAACTGTTGGGTGGCTAAGCTTTTTATGGATTGGAAATAAAGCCTGTAAAATCGCTCTCGAGAATAAAATCGTGAAACAAATGATGCACACCAATCGCCCAGAGGATAAGTCCCGTTAAGCTCCCTTCACGAAGACGTTACGAAACAAAAGTTTTACAATACCCTCTTCCTATAAACCACTGCTACACATTTCATTCCCAGAGGCATCGGCTTTAGGAACTGATTCCAAGTATTTGAATGATAATCAATTGATTTGAAAAGATTGATTTCCTTATGAGTAACTTGATGCCGCTGAATACCTTAATTTTGTCTGACTACCTCCACTTTCTAGCTCTCCCTGAACTGCCCACGAATTCCCGACCCTGCCTATGCGTACAATGAGAGTTTTACGCGGTACTATATCAATCCTATTGTTGGCGCTGTATTCGGTGATAGTCCAGTGCCGTGCCTGAAGTCAGTCGTGAGCTTTTGATTTCCACTGAATGGACTTTAAGCAATTTTTTCTTGGATGGTTTGAATCTAACAAGGGACTCTTTCAGATCTCAGCTTCCGCATGTGGCCTTCTATAAAAGCGTGCACGTGAAATGTGCAACTGAAATGCCCGGTAAGCCACATCTGAAGCCCTCACTACTACCTTTGCATTTTGAAAAATATTAGGTTGTCCGGAAAGGAATGCGCGTTGAATTTTTTGAACTTGTCCATTTTTTCTCTCCTACTATAGAAGATTTTTGGAGACAGTTTTGTCTATTAGAAAGAGATTTTTATTGTGCTTCTTTTGATATATTTTTGTCCATGTCTACTTTGCTTTTTTTGGGGAAAAAAAGTTGGGAAGAGCGGGTGCCGCACCAGCTGAGCGACGCAAACAAGGGCAACACGAG